GAGGGACAGCGCAGAAGGGGAAAGCCCCATATGAGGTGGATTGATTCAGTGACTGGGGTCATGGGGATGGGTGTATCAGAGATGGTGCGATTGGCACAGGACAGAGCAGAGTTTAGGGCTGTTGTACATAGGGTTGCTATGAGTCGCAAGTGACTCGACGGCACATAACAACAACAGTTTTAATGAAAGTTTAGAGACTTAGGGTTTCCAGTCATTCATTGTTGCACTTTTTTCCCTGCCCACCCCTTCCCCCCCCAATTCACTCTTCTCCTTGAAAAGTAAGTAGGAGTATTTTTATAGCTTGACTGTCCCTTTGAGCTTCTGAGGTTTCCTTGAATAGGATTTTCCCAGTGTCTGAGACTCAGGAACCCCCACCTTGAAATCTGGACCCAGGACTGTCCTACTCTGCCTCCTCAGTGTTTTATGACTTTGCTTTGCAGAGCCCCTCCATGACCTTCCCCACGTGGCTTTCCCACCCAGTGCCCTGTGAGCAGCCTGCGCCCCTCCTTGAAGTAAGTCACCCTGGGTCAGAACCATGTGTAAATGGCACAGGCTCAGGTGGGCCCCTTTCTGTAAGAATCTGATACTAAGGGCCCTTAGCTTAAGTCTCCAATCATTCTGCTGGGTACTTGCTTTTAGAACATAGAATCTGAAACACTAGTGGCATGGACTTGGAGTGCCTACTGCACATGTCTCACAGGTCATCTGGGATTGCTACTGCTCTCAGCAGGGGCACCCTCTATCCCAGCCTGGCCTCTCTGGGTCCTGAAAGCACTGAAAAGAGACATATAGTGCTGGAAAGAGACACAAAGTCACTGACCCTTCGTTTTGGAGCAGGGTCTCCCGGACCCCAGCAAAGTATCTTCTGAGGTGCAACAGATGTGGGCATTGACGGAGATGATCCGGGCCAATCACACCTCCTCCCGGATTGGCCGCTTTGACGTGAGTGATTGCTTCCCTCTGCTTGGCTCAGGTTGCCATGAGTGCATCAGACCTGATGACTTTTTGTGTTGCAGGTGGATGGCTGTTATGATTTGAACCTGCTCTCCTACACCTGAGCCACGGCTCCTGCTTATGACCTTGATCTTTCTGTGCTTGCCCAGACCTGGTCTGAGCCATCAGAAGCTGAAGTGTGCACTCCGTGCTTTCTGAGTACCACCTGCATGCCCAGCCTGTCTGGGGCACTTTTGCGGATTCCAGATTTTCGGGCTCTATGTGTTGCTTTAGCATGAGCTCCAGACAGGGTTGTGCTCTGTCCTCACCTGGATGTAGCCCAACTCTTCCTTCTTCCTTCACTCTAAAAACATTCCAGTTCTACTTATTAAGAATTCCCACGTGCCCTCCACCCTTCCTACCAACATGTACAAGCCCGTCTTCTGCCTATTCCCCAACCCTGAGTGGAGTGGGCTGGAACTACCAACCTAGCCCTGGAAGGCTGCTGTCCACATGGTATCCTTGTTGATTAGAAGCTTGGGGGAGAAACTGGGGCTCTTTATCTTATATCAGGGTCACTTAGTGACCTTCTTTTCTTTTGTGTTATTGTCCCCCTTAACCCCCAAGACTCACATATGTAATGAATACCTGCCTGGGAAGCAAAACTGCGGATTAAAGGCATTTAAATTTTTCCATTTCTGATTTGGCACCTGGATGTGTGTCCAAGTGTGCCTACCCACCACACTTGAGCAGGTGCTTCTGGCAAGGGGATTAGATATGGAACCTGTAAGCCATCTGACAAACCCAAAGCACATCCCTGGCTCTTCTTAAGAGGCTGAAGTCCTTCACGGCCCCATGCTGTTTTTTTAATAAGCCAGGCTATTTGTCTCCCTTTGGTTTATCTAACTGTTCTGCCTCCCTTTGGTTTTCCCTGGCTTTGAACCTGGGGACTACTATATGGTATTATTGCTGTTGTGTTGGACTTGGAAGATAGGATGCATGTGAGGCTCAACAGCTTTTTTTTTGGAAAATTTGGTAAATTTTTGGTGGCCTCCCTCTGATCTCATCCATCAGTGTTCTCTGATTTTTCTGAGAGGATGATAACTCAGGGAGTAGTGTGTTTGAGAAGGGAGGACCCTGGGAGTCAGTACAGCGCTTGGTGTACATCAAAATCAATAAACTCTTGTGGAATGAATGTCCATGCTGCTGCTTGTGTCTGCCCAGTGAGAAAGCTGGGGACCCTCAAAAGAAGCCAAGTTACCAGGTTGCTCTGTCAGGCTGGCTCCACCATGCTGTGGCTTCCTCCGCCCTCCCCCACTCCTTTGCAGAACTTTGATCCTTTGTAGGCAGGACAGTCCACAGGGGGGAGGTCCAGTCCCTGCTTTAGGCAGCTCAGAATGTCCTGATAAGTCACCTGAAAGGGCCTGGGGCTGGTTTTCTGCAGTTTGGAAGCTCAGCTCTCTTTGAAAGCCTGCCCTGCCCTTGGGGCTTCCTGTTCTGAATGGATTAAATGCCTTTCTGGGCAGGGGTCGGACTACATCTCCCAGCGTGCCTGGCAGAGGGACAGCCTCGGCTCTGGCAACACCAGTTACTGGCTACGATGCATCGGGCAGGGAGTGTGGTGGCTTGGCTGGGCTCTCGCCTGTGGGCAGCCCCCTTGACCTTGAGTCGATCATTCAGTTGCACTCAGGTGGGACAGAGGGTGTTGGGGGCGGTGGGACAGAGGGTGTTGGGGGCGGTGGGACAGAGGGTGTTGGGGGCTGGGGCTCAGCCTTGGAGGGTGGAAAGGCAGGCGGCTGGCCAGCTGGGCCGGTGATCAGGGTCCTGGCCGCCCGCAGGACTCGCTCCGCAGGACACCGCTCTACGACTTGCACATGGGCCATGGTGGGAAGATGGTGGCGTTTGCGGGCTGGAGCCTGCCCCTGCAGTACCAGGACAGCCACATTAACTCCCATCTGCACACACGCCATCACTGCTCGCTCTTTGATGTGTCCCACATGCTGCAGGTGAGCCAGGGGACAGCAAATCAGCCCAGCTCTTCTCCCATTTACAGTGGGCAGTCCTTGTGGGGCTGGATTACCCAATAAGCGAGGCACCTTTGGGTCCTTCCCACCCATCTGCAGTGCTCAATTTCACCTGTCCCTCACCACATCAAAGGTGTAGTAAAAGCTATTTGAAATTGCTCGCCACGGGTTAGTAAGTGAACACAGTTAAATATAAATGTATCTTATCCAATACAAGCCAGTGCCTATTGTGCTTCTGGTTCACCCAACCCTGAGTCTCCTAGGAGCTAGAGCCTAAGGGACAACTTGCCAGATCTAGGTGTTCCCACAAGTACCATGAGTGTGTTCCTGAGGAAATTTATTCAGGGAATCTCTTGATTGACCTCTGCCAATCTATCCAGCCTGCTTCCATTTAATGGGGTGTCTTAATATCCTGGGCTTTCCAGAACTAACACTGTCCTCATCAATGGCCCTGGGTATTGGTCTGGAAAAGGGGTATTTCAGGAATGTGTTTGGTCTTTTTTGAGTTCCCTGACTTCCGTCCACATCTCCCAGTGAGTCCCACCGTCTCCTAGAGGATACAGGGGATCAGTCGTGGGGATTCTGCCATCTGAGGGTTGTAAGACAGGCAAAATACTGCAGTTGGGCTGGCCTGTGCTGTGGATGGCAGGGTGGGTGCCTCCTTGCCCAGCACTTTCTCTGACTGCAGCTGTTGCAGGGGTCTGAGCCTTTGATCTCTTCCTCAGACCAAGATATTTGGCCGTGACCGTGTGAAGCTGATGGAGAGTCTAGTGGTCGGAGATATTGCTGAACTACGGCCAAACCAAGTAGGTCCTTTATCTTTTATTTCTGCTCAGTAGATGTTCTCAGCCATGTTTGTTGTTACAAACATGAGCCTCTACTATGTGGAGTTGGGACCAAAGACATGGTCCAGACATAGCTTCTCAAGGTTGCAGTCCCTGAGTCATGACCAGATATCGAGCTATCTGTAGGACAAGAACTGTTTCAGCCCATCAGACTAAACACACACATACACACACACACACACACACACACACACACACACACATACACACACACTCAACTCATAGGAACCTTCCACTGTGTTTCTGAGGCTGTACCTGAAAACTGGAGGAGACTGCCAGTCTTTATCTCATGGAGTTGCTGGAGGATACAAACCACAGAGATGCTTATTTGGGGTTAACAGCCTAATTATTCTGTGTCATGCCACCAGAGCGCCCCCACTGCCCCGTCAGAGTTTGCCCTTGATTTGACTATGACTCATAGTGACCCTATGAACAACAGATCTGAACCCTGTCCCATCCTGTGCCGTATTTCTCCATCTCTGCCACATTTTTTTTTAAATTTTATTATTTTCTTGTGTGTGTACCATCAAATCAGATCTGACTGGTACAGGAGGAGATTGTTCCTCCTTCTCCAGCAGAGCATCTGGTGGATTTGAACCATGCACCTCTTGGATTGCAGTGCAGCTTCTTGCCACTAGGTCACCAGAGCTTGCCACCATCTCTGCCATATTTGAGTCCTTGTTACAATCATTGTGCTAATCCATCTTGTTGAGGGTGTTTCTCTCTTACAGACTCTCCACCTTTTCAAGCATGATGTCTTTTTCCAAAAACTAGCCCTTTCTAAAAGCATGCCTAAAATATGTGAGACAAAGTTTCACTATCCTTCCTTCAAGGAGCACCCTAGTTGCATGTTCTCCGAGATTTAGCCCATCAGGATAGGAGGCCAGAAACCTGAGTTCTTACGTTGTTCTACAACCTTCCATGGTACTTGGCTCCTCACTTCTCATAATATGGTCTCAAACCCAGTAGCCTCATCACCACCTAGGAGTTTAAGATTATCCTTTCAGGACTTGGCCCAGGCATTTGTAATCAGAACCTGTTCTTTGACAAGTCTCCTGGGAGATTCATGTGACCTCTGAACCTCAGTGGTGAACTTATTCAGTGAAAGGTTGAGTGAGGCATTGCTCTAAGAGTGTGGGAGATTGTTAAGGTGAATTTTGCAGCATCTGCCCTGGAGTTGGGGCATGAGCTGAGTTGTCCCATTCCAAGCCTGAGTGGGATAAGGAAACAAGTCCTAGGTGTACCACATTAAATGTGACATAGGGCTCTCAGTGCTGACTTGGGAGGACTGTAGAAGACCACCAGATTGATTGAGGACATGTGCAAAATGGGGACCAGGTGAAACCTTTCTTGGTGCATGAGCCTCAGAAACCCTAGGCTGTGTTCAGGGACCCAGGCGGCCCTAGTTTTGTACCTTGCCCCCCCCCCCCCAGTCCTCCTATGCATGAAGACTGGTGAGTTCATGGTAGCTGTGTGGGCCAGAGGTATCTTTGGCTAACCCTTGGCCTTGACCTCCTGGACCCAGAAGTAAACATACTCCACTTTGGTGCCAGGGAACACTGTCACTGTTCACCAATGAGGCTGGAGGCATTCTAGACGACTTGATCGTGACCAACACCTCTGAGGAACACCTGTATGTGGTGTCCAATGCTGGCTGCAGGGACAAGGACTTGGCACTCATGAAGGTACAACACTTTCTATGTACTCGACATCCTTCCTTCCTTGTTCATGGGTGGCAGTCTTGGAGACCAGGATGTGCTTGGCATGGACTAGGGGCTCAGCAAATGGCTCTTTGAGTAACAACTGAGAGCTCCTTAGAAAAGCTGGGGTTTGGTGGAGAGAGGAGCAGGTGAAGCAGATTTTGGCCCCAGAGTGAGCAGCTTCTGGGGAACAGCGGAGAGACCTGGGCTTGAGTCATCATTACCATTTAGTAGCCTTGTAACTTTGGGAGTCGCCTAGTATCTCTGAGGCTTAGCCTCTTTTTAAGGTAAGAACCAACCTCTTGTCTTGTTGCCCAGATCTTTGGTGCCTGGTTCATGGTAGGCACAGGATCATAGTTATCTAGTGTTGCTGTAATAGAGATACCACAAGTGAATGGTTTTGACAAAAATTTTTTCTTCTACAGTCCAAATTCAAAGTATCAGCTCTAGGGGAAGACCCTTTCTCTCTTGGTTTTGGAGGAAAGTTCTTGTTTCCTTCAGCATCCTTAGGCTTTGTGTTCCTTGGAGATCTGTGTGTCTTGACCTATCTTGGTGTCAAGGCACTTTACAGCACAGGGGCCAAGGTCTAAAGAGCACACTCCACTTCTGGTGATACTGAGGTTCCCCTCTTCCCTCCTCTTTTATCTCTTATGACAAAAAAGGTGTTACAAGCCACACTCTAGAGAAGCTCCCCTTACTTAGATAAGGGCTGTGTTACACTCTATCCTTAGACCTTTTGCTCCTCTTTAGTTTATCAGATACGGGTGACCATGACACAGCTTCCACATTTTATCATTACATTAATATATTTGGGAGATAACACATAATTCAACCCATGACCCATAGTGGTATTTTTGTTTCTTTCAGAACAAGGTCAGGGAGCTTCAGAACATAGGCCATGATGTGGGCTTGGAGGTGGTGGAGAATGCCCTCCTGGCTCTGCAAGGTGAGAGGGCCAGCCTGGGGCTGGAACTGAGCTGTCTCCCTGGCTTAGCTCAGAAGCCTAGGGCCAGGGAAATCATGGCCTTGTGAGCCATAATGCCAAGTTATATATCTTCCTCTTTCCCCATCTACCATGCTCCATGGGTTGAGGTAAAGGTGTCTCCTCTGATCTGCAAAGAAGGGATGAACATCTCAGGGTTTGTCCTTGGTTACTGGTTCCCTGGGCCCAGGTCCCACTTCAGCCCAGGTGCTGCAGGCTGGCGTGACAGATGACCTGAAGAAGTTGCCCTTCATGACCAGCGCTGTGATGGAAGTGTTTGGCGTGTCTGGCTGTCGTGTGACCCGCTGTGGCTACACAGGCGAAGATGGTGTAGAGGTTTGTTGAACAGTGGGCCTGGGTGTTTGCAAGCACAGTAAGTACTGTGGGGCTGGTGCTCATCTGCCCTGTGGAATCCCATGCAGATCTCAGTGCCAGCATCAAGGGCAGTTCACCTGGCAATGACTCTGCTGGAAAACCCAGAGGTGAAGCTGGCTGGACTGGCAGCAAGGGACAGCCTACGCCTGGAGGCAGGACTCTGCCTTTATGGGAATGACATTGATGAACATACCACACCAGTGGAGGGCAGCCTCAGTTGGACATTGGGTGAGTTAGCCTGGCACTCAAGGATGGGATTTTGAAGGTTTGAATGGTCCTTGGTGGTATCAGCCAGTCCTTGACGAATTCTTAAGTTGTATAGCCTGGAACAAAAGACTCGTTCTCCCTGAGCCTCCATTTTTTCAGCAGTGTCACTGTGGCCTTGCTTGTTGGAAGCTGATGACCTCTGGCAGGTCAAGGTACACAGCAGACTTCTGGACCAGGGGATGGGAGTTGGTGACTGACTGCAGTGCAGGGGAGGGGAGCAGTGTCAATGTTAGATGGATGTCCCTTGAGGCCCGTATAACTGGAGCCTCTTGTGGCCAGGGCTTCTACAGGCTGTGACTGCTATCTGGTGTGTCATATTCCAGGGAAGCGTCGCCGAGCTGCCATGGATTTTCCCGGAGCTGAAGTCATTGTTCCTCAGCTTAAGGGCAAGGTGCCGCGGAGGCGTGTGGGGCTGATGTGTGAGGGGGCACCTGTGAGGGCACACAGCCCCATCCTGAGCATGGAGGGTACTGTAATTGGTAGGTGGACCAATGAAGTCAGAGAGCCCTTTGTCCCAAAACTTTCCCCGAAGTGCTGGGCTGGCAGGGCGGTGTTGATGCTTGGCTTATGCCCTAACAGGTACGGTAACCAGTGGCTGTCCCTCACCCAGCCTGAAGAAGAACGTGGCGATGGGTTATGTGTCCTCCCAGTACAGCCGGCCAGGAACTGAAGTGCTGGTAGAAGTGCGTCGGAAGCAGCAGGCGGCTGTGGTCAGCAAGATGCCCTTCGTGCCTACAAACTACTATACCCTTAAGTGAGGGGAGTTCAGGGCAGAACCCTGCTCTTCAAGAACCCTGCCTTTGAGGGTACTTTCTAAGTGATTTGCTGGGGCTGAGAGAGAACCTGAAAAGGGTAGGGCTGGGGTGAGGTGGTTGGGTAGAGGCTATTTGGTTGAAGGTGGCCCACCACCTGTTCTGTCCTGTCCAACTCTGTGCTATTTATTCCAACTTCGGGACTAGCTTATCCGTGCTCCCAGAGCAGACTCCCCACACTGGAGGCTGGGCTGTGAGAAACACCAGTTCTGACGTCTCCCTTCCACCCTGCCACGCTCTGCCTATGGAGCAGTGGTTCATCTTTGAAGGAAGGATGAAGCCTCCTTGACCTACCTCTGATTTTTCTAACACTACTAAGGGCTATTACCTTGGCCAGTGCCAGCTTAGGCTAATTCCTTCAATTCCTCTGCGTCGTCCCCCCCCCCCCAAAGCAAACTGTCACTTTTCCCTGGGCAGGAATAAGGGACTCACTCTTCTTATTCCCAATTTGGCCCAGAAACCAAATGGTCAGCTATGATTGGGTTCTGACTCAATAGTGGCAAGAGCCAAGGAGAGAGAGTAGTAGACTATTCCAAGCATACCACCTCTTTTGAGTTGTAAGGGCAGGGTCACCGCCAGACCCAGCCTTACCCTGGGGTGACCTTTACCCTTGGGATAAAGGCTATACTGACTCCTGAAAAAAAAAAAATTAAATGAGCTCCCTTCCTTGTTTGCCATAACTGTTCATTTTATTGTGTTTTATCCATAGCATTTCTATGGTGTCAGCCATGCTGGCCTCCATTATAGGCTTAGAATGAGTTTTCCTTGAGAGGGGCAGGCCTATTAAGGACAGACAGACGGTTGTGTCTGTTGCACCTCCCATTTTCACTCTCTTAGGGAGCTGGCATCATCTCTCTACCTCTGCAAGTGCTTATTATATTCTGGTTCCTGAGGAGCAGCAGCCCCTCCTGGGTGTTCCCTCTCCCCGTCACCCTTGTGCATATCTTATGCTGTCTGAATAGCCATACAACTGATCTACTTCCATTTTTAATCAGTCACTTTCTTGGTTGAGCCTGGGTGAGATGATAAGCCCAGATTCCCTGTGTGGTGATAAGTGGTGGGTGGAAAGCCCATTAATCTGTCAGCCTATGGACATCTCTGGAGTAAGTCCTGTGCTCAGTGCAGCCCCACTTCCAGTGTCCCTTTATAATAAGGATAGCCCAGCAAAGGCTGCCATATAGAAATGTGCGCTCTAACAGAGGAAGCTGGCAACGGGACCAAGAGGTAGCTGGTGGCCCAGCAAAGGCAGGTACAGGACCATCCTGCTTTCAGGAACCAGTATTTCTTTGGGGGTGTTTTGCAGGGTATAGCTGGAAGCTCCTCTGGCTTGCTGTGGAGGTGGTAGGCCTGCCTGGCTATGAAATTCCTGCACTGAGATGGTGCTGGTAAGAAGCTAAGCCTTGGGACTCTTAGGATGAGGCTCCTGTAATCCCAAGTTGAGATGGGATGTGAGGAGGCTGCAAGGCAAGATGAAGCTGCTCTGTACTGATTAGTTACCTACCAGTGAAGGGACAGAGGTGATACTTGATCCCTCTTGGGATATTTCAGTGGTGGGAATGGGAGGCCACCCTGGGAGCTCAGCTGGTAAACTGTTCCACCACAAAGATTGAAGAATATTGTAAGGACATTCAGTGCCTCCATGACAGGATGGTACCACCTACCCCATCATGGACCTTATATCCAGTTAAGTAACTTTGTAGTACCTCCCAGTCAGGGGCAGGATGTTGACATGAGATCCCTATGGGCATTTCAGCAAAGGCCTATACTAGGCTATAGTGGACCATCTCTCCCAAAGTATAAGGCCTGGATAAGGCCCAAACCAGGATTCCCTGGTTTCCTGCCAACAAAGTAAAATCAAAGAAATTCAAGGAACCCAGAGTTGAGGGAGAACAAACTTCCTTACAAATCCCAGAGTTGGTCAACTTCATCCTCAGGCATCCTCTGAGGGAGACATATCTCTATGAGGTCATTCATACCATAGAAAGATGAGGAGAGGGACAGGAGAAAGCCAGGAAAGAAAATGGATTGTTGGCCTCCCCCATCCAGAGGCTTCTCCTGAGTTCCAACCCCTAAGAGAGGAAGAACAAGCACACTTTCTCTCCTTAAGGCACTCAGATCAAGGTAGAGGCAAAGTTCACTGGCCCAGTGCTTGCGGCTGCTGGAGGCAGAGCCTGGAGCAACAGGGGCCCAGCTCTGCAAGCACTGTCCCCAAGTCCCTGAAGTCACTATAGTCATTCTTGGGACCTGGGTAACAGCAGAACTCATGGTGAGAACAGCAGACCTAGATTCCTGTTGCCTTTTCATTCTCTGTGAGTTTTGAGAGGTTCATTTGCTGCTGTTTCCCTGAAAGTGATAGAGAGAATGGATAGGTTAGTCTCTGAGCAGTAGAGCTGTTCCTAGGATTAGCTCATTCTGGATCCTTGTTGGGAGCGGAAGTGGGCTCAGTAAGGCTAAACTACAATCAGACCTCTCTGATTGATCTGTTTGGGTTTCACTTTTGTTATTAATCAGGTTAAATGAGATCATACCATATTAGGGTAGGTCCTAGTCCTAATTCCTCTGAGTAATGTCTTATAAAAGTAAAAAAGGGAATGACATGGAATTATAAACACCAGGTGTGGATGGAGGTATTTGCATTGATAAGCAGCAAAGAAAGGCCAAAAACTGCTGGCAGCTACCAGTAAGCATCCAACACACTTTGGTTGATTTAGAACTATAAGGAAATGAACTGCTGTTCTTTAGAGATAACTATTTTGTTTTAGGGTTCAGGGATTAGCAGAAGTTAGCTGCTTGATTAGTAAATCCATGTTTCACATTATCAGGCTAACCCAATAAGGCCAGTCAGTAAGCTAAGGACAGAGACTCCAGCTTTTCTCAACTGAAGGGCTTACTTTAATGAGGAATTGAACAGAATTGCCATTTCATCTCTAAAATTGTTGCTTCATCTGTAAAATTGTGACAATTACTCCAACATCCATATCCTCCTCCTGCCCCACAAGTTGCTGGACAGCATCCTATGACAATCTGTGTAAATGTGTCACTCCAACTTGAAGCCTGAGCACTGGCTGCAAATTTTGAAGTTTGCCACCAAACTGGAGGCACTCCCAACCTTAGAACCCCTCCCCTGATTCCTAGTACAAGAGTGTCCTCTGTCTGACAAGCATGGTGTAGAGGGTAGGGCAGATATACTCACCAGGAAGGGAAATGTGTAGAGCCATCAGGTGTGGATCCGTTCTGGCCGCCCAGACCTGGGGGCAGGAATACACCCAGAGCTGCAGCAAGCTGCGGGGTGGGGACCTGATCGGGCATCAGCCCAGGTTAGGTTAGGGACCAGTGACATTGTTTTGTGTAAAAGCTGGTGGGAAGCCTAAAGAATCTGTGGTATCTGGTAGGGATTTTGGGAAAGTTACAATACGATGGACTGGTTGAGATCTGGCATGCAAAGGGCTGGAGGCATTAAACAGTATGGTCTCTGCATTAAATTTTGATGAGATTTTTGCGGAACAAGTAGCAGTTGAGGGTGGTCTTAGGGGGAGGAATGGTCTAGTCAATGAGGGTGGGCGGCCCGCAGAGGTAGGTGGGGAACCTCACCTGGCCGGTGATATAGCCCGGTCACTGTGTTGCCGTAGAACCCCCACGCCAGCTGGATTCCCAGGAGACTTAACACCAACCACAGTAGCAGCAGCTTAAAGAGGGTCACACGCATGTCTTGCGCTTCCCACTCCCGCAAGAACTCGCTGCCCAGGGCACCCAAGGCGCCCAGCACCGTGGCCGGCAGAGCCTCCAAGGCCTGCCCGGACCAAGGCTCCGCCATGATTAACATCCACCCCAGGGACTGTCACTGTAGTCCCCACTACGCAGGCGCCTGATCTTCCGGGCCCAGGTCGGTTAGGACGCACGCGTAAACTCAAGGAAGGCCGGCCTAACAGGCTTGCGCGAAGAGTTGGCAGTTTGGGGTGGAGTATTAAAGCCGCGCACGCGCACCTAGCCCCACCCTGATTACTTAAAAGGATGAGTGACTCTAAGGGTATAAAATAGCAACCAGGTCTTTTATAGCTCCAGAGTTCCCGTGATACCTTGCGTGACTGCAATGATTGGCTAAGCACTTTACTCTTGGGGCGTGGATACGCTCCTGAGCAATCGTGGCTAAGCTGTAGTTCGCGCGCGTCCGCGGGGCCGCGGCTGGGACCGGCTCGAGCCCGCTGGGCGATCGGGGACGCGCACGTCTCTCCCCGCCCTCCCGCCACCGCCCGCCCTCGCTCGCTCGAGCTCCCCGCCCGCCGCCTGCTGCCCGCCGTCTTCCTTCGGTTCTCTCGTTAGTCCACAGCCGCCTCCTCAGCGACTAGCCAGCGCCTTGGAGCTTGTGACTCGCGGAGCAGAGTCCTCGGCGCAGAGAGGCCGGGCTCGGAGTCGCCGCCAGAGGTGAGCAAGAGGGTTCTCTTTCGGCGCCGCGGTGTCCCGGGTCCGCCCGCTCGGCACCCTTCCGGCCACTCGCCCGCCGCCCCACCGCGGCCGCGCCCCACCTGCTGCTCCCGGCCTGTCGCCCTTGGTGTTTGGTCCCTGGCCCCCGGCCCCTGGCTTCCGGCTCCCGGTCCCGGCTCCGCGCCCCGAGGCGATGGCCCCG